GTGCGGATACTCCTTGCACCTTCTTCCCATGAGCTTCTCTGCTCTCCATACACCTCAATGACCAGGCTTGGCTATAAAAAGCAGTCTGTTTCTTGTTGGCTCCCTAAAAGTAGCTGGTATATCTCATCACATGGTTTCCTGGAGTTAGCTGATAATGGTAGAAAATCCTCTTCCTTGGGGATTTTGGCATTTCTGCTCCTAAGGCCTGCATATGACAAGTGTTTCTCTAGTCTTAGATTAAGAGGGTCTGGGTTAGAGCCTAGGGGGACTAAAGTAGGGTATACCTTAAAGGACCCCTGATGAATCGAAACTAAAAAAGTTATGAGGATTAGAAATTTGATCTCTGTAAAGTTTATGTAAAACCTGACAACTTCTCATTATATCCACATTACTACTTTGTTTCAAGCCACCATTAGCTCACATCTTGATTATTGCAATTGCCACCTGGTTGCCCCGCATCTGCCCTTGTCCTCCTATAGTCTGCTTCTCAACACAGCGTTCAGAGAAATGCTTTTAAAGATGTAAATGCGATCGTGTCGCATATCTCTTCAAATTCCTCCAACAGCTTCCATCTCAGAGTAAAACTCAAAGTCCTTATGATGACCTACAAAAGCCTTTATGATCTGTACCCCTGTTGCTTCTCTGAGTTCATCTCCTGCTAGTTACCACCTCACTTGTTTCTCTTTGGCCACACTGGCCTCCTTGCTATTCCTTGAACATACTTGTTCTTGGCTCAGGGCCTTTGCATTTGCCATTTTCTGTTCTTGGGATACTCTTCCAGTTATCCTGTGTGCCTTTCTCCAACATCTCCTTCAGATATTTGCTTAAAAGTCACTTTCTTTTTTTTGGCGGTATGCGGGTCTCTCACTGCTGTGGCCTCTCCCATTGCGGAGCACAGACTCCGGACACGCAGGCTCAGCGGCCATGGCTCACTGGTCCAGCCGCTTTGCGGCACGTGGGATCATCCCGGACCGGGGCACAAACCCGTGTCCCCTGCATCGGCAGGTGGACTCTCAACCACTGCGCCATCAGGGAAGCCTGAAAGTCACTTTCTTAATGAGACTTTCCTTGACACCTCTAATGAAGATGATAAATCACTAATACCACAACTCTTGGCCTTCCCTCTTGACCTTCTCTGCTTTATACAAATTATTGTCTCTCTCACCCAAATTGGATGTTAGCTCAATGAGGACAAAGATTTTTGTCTGTTTTGTTTACTATTTACTGCATTTCTAGTGCCCGGAACATAGAAATCTTGTATTTGTTGAATAAATGAATGAATGAATTTCTGCCTCCAGACTGACTGTCTCAGACTGCTTGTAACTGTGTCTTCCCTGATATGTCCTAGGGTGTGGTGTTTAAGGTCCAGTGATTTCATCACTTACTTATCACCCAGTGAGAGTAATCAGACTCTCAATAAAATTAACAAAATTGTTTTAAAATTCGTTTTGAAAAATAAGTAACTGAGATTGACAAGAAATGTTCTGAAATAAAAGAGCCATGGAAAGAGGGGGTCAAGACATTAGAAAAATTTTAAAAGCATAAAATAAAATAAAACTGAATTAAAATAAAAAGTATAATAAAATAGTCAAGTGCTAGCAAAAAAATATGGTTTAGTGCAAAAGAATGGAGAGGCTAGAAATATACCCAACTATATATGTAGTTGTTATTACTTTATAATTACTTCTTATTAAATAGCATTTTTCCAAAAAGGGAGTAAAAGACAGATAATTTTTTTTAAGGTCTAAGGCATTTATTTATTTATTTTAATTGAAGTATAGTTGATTTACAATGTTGTGCTAGTTTCTGGTGTACAGCAAAGTGATTCAGTTTTTTATGTATTGATATATGTATGTGTATATATGTGTGTGTGTATATATATATGTATATATGTGTATATATATATTCTTTTTCATATTCTTTTCCATTATAGGTTATTACAAGGTTTTGAATATAGTTCCCTGTGCTATACAATTGGACCTTGTTCTTTATCTATTTTATATATAGTAGTTTATATCTGCTAATCCCAAACTCCTAATTTATCCCCCACCCACCCCCATTTCTCCTTTGGTAACTGTAAGTTTGTTTTCTATGTCTGTGAGTCTGTTTCTGTTTCATAAATAAGTTTGTATCAGTTTTTTAGATTCTACATATAGGTGATATCATATGATATTTGTCTTTCTCTGTCTGACTTACCTCACTTAGTATGATAATCTCTAGGTCCATCCATTGCTGCAAATGGCATTATTTCATTCTTTTTTATGGCTGAGTAATATTCCATTGTGTATATATACCACATCTTCTTTATCCATTCATCTGTCAATGGACATTTAGGTTGCTTCCATGGAAAGACAGATAATTTAATAAATGGAGTTGGGATACTGGGTAGCAATTTGGGAAAAAATGTTAAGAGTCACAATTTATAGCATACAATACATTGGATGTTAGGCGGTCTAAAGGGCTGACGATTAAAAAATCCAAACATGTTAAATACTTCAGTCAGTTTACCTTTCTAAGAATTGACAAAATCTCCTTGCTCTGGGCCCTTCACCATGTCACTTACCTAATTCTTATTAAAAAGTAGATTCTCTCACCAATTTCAGATGAGACATTGGGGAGCTGGAGAACCTAACCCACACGTGTCAGAAGGAACCTGAGTTTAGTTGTGGGGGGAGGACACAGAGAACTGTTAAACTTAGGCACTGCTCTTCACTCCTCATCTCGCTGGAGGTCTTGACTTCCCTTCAGGATTCTAGCCTCCATGGGAATGTAGCTAGGCCGTACCTATACCCCAGGTAGTAGACTGCACTAGAGCTGTACTCCAGTATGTAGCTATTAGCCACATGTGGCCATTTAAACTTAAATTAATTTTTAAAAAATTTCTGTTCTTTAGTCATACTAGCCACATTATGAGTGTTCAATAGCTGCCTGTGCCTAGTGACAGTTGTTTGGACAGGACAGATATTGAAGCTTTCCATTATTGCAGAAAGTTGTATTGGACAGTGCTACGTTATAGTTGTGAACATTGTCAAGTTCCTTGTGCTCAGCAGCCTATACCCTGACTAGGTTGAGAGTAATCCAGTGTGGTCTCTCTTCAAACTTCTCTCCTGAGTCTTTAAGCCCAGACGTCTTATGTCTGAAAAACCCAGGGGAGAAAATCATCCCTCGATTATGAGTTTAAGGAATCTGGGACCATTCTGTCAATCATCTGTTCATTTAGTCAGCAACATTTACTGACATTACTCTGGGTCAGACCCTTTCCTTTCTTGGACCCTGGGGATCATGAAAGGTGGATAAGAGACATTTCCGGAAAATTCTACTAAAATGTGTTCTTGTGAGAGTAGTGATCAGAGTTGCGTATTTCTTTGATGTTTGAGGCTCTGTGGAAAGCAGTGATCACTGTTCAATCTTATACATACTAATGTGGTTAAGGATTGGGCTGAATGAGTATCTGTGAAATTAATTACCAGTTAAATTTCTAAAAGCTTTGATTTCTTCTGCTTTTCTTTTTTCTTATAAAAGTATAGTGTGAAAAAAAATCCACATAACTAAAGGACAGCATATGCGGTACAGGGGAAAACTTTAGACTATAAAGTCAGATACCTTGGGTTGGAATACTAACTCTATCACTTATCAGCTCTAACCCTGGGCAGATGTTTCAGTTATCTAATGCTGCATAACAAACTTCCCCCAAACTTAGTGGCTCCAAACAACAAAAACATTTATTTTATCATGTTTCTGCAATCTTGGCTTGGCTTATCAGGGACAGCTCCTGTGTGTCCACTTGGCATCAGGTGAAGTAACTCAAAATCTAGGGGCTAGAATCACCTGAAGTCTCAGTCACTCACATGTCTGACTCCTGGGCTGGAAGACTCAGACAGCTTGTGCTGCTCAGACATTGCTAGCTCTAAATAGTCTTTACACATTATCTCTCCAGAATGATAGCTTCAGAGTAGCCAGGCTTCTTACATGGTGGCTCAGAGCTCCCAAGGCATGTGTCCCCAAAGGGAGTGAGCCAGGTGGAATCTATACTGCCTTTTCTAACCTAGCCTGGGAAGTCATTTGACATCATTGCTGCCACATTCTGTTTGTTAGAAGATGAGTCATTAATGTCAGCCTATATTCAAGGGCAGAAGAATTCAACTTTTATGGAAGGATTGTCAAAGAATTGTGGACATATTTTAAAATCATCACAGCAAGTAATTAAATCTCTTTAAACTTAATGTTTTGAGAATTTGGGGCAAACTGTGTTCTTTAAGACTATTACTGCTTTTGGGCTTCCCTGGTGGCGCAGTGGTTAAGAATCTGCCTGCCAATGCAAGGGACACGGGTTCGAACCCTGGTCCGGGAAGATCCCACAGCTGCAGAGCAACTAAACCCACGCGCCACAACTACTGAGCCTTGCTCTAGAGCCCGCGAGCCACAACTGCTGAGCCTGCGTGCTGCAACTACTGAAGCCTGCATGCCTAGAGCCCGTGCTCCACAACAAGGGAAGCCACTGCAATGAGAAGCCCCAGCACCACAACGAAGAGTAGCCCCCGCTCGCCGCAACTAGAGAAGAGCCTGCGAGCAGCAGCGAAGACCCAACACAGCCTAAATAAATAAATAACTAAAGACTATTACTGTTCTCATTTGTAAAATAGGTGTGATAATTCATTAGTTGTGAAGATTAGATGAGAAAATATAAGCTCTTGGAATGTTGCTTAGTGTGTAAATGAGTACTCAAAAGTTGTTAATTCTTCCTTTTCCATAATTAAAAAATATGAGGAAGGAATTTCTTATTCACGTTTATTTTTTTCTCAAATGAAACATATAACAAAGAAGAAAAGGCAGTCTAGTTAGTAAGTAGGACATATTCACATGGAAGGATACATGGGTGATGTGATACACTTGTACATCCGGCAGGTGGGATGTGCTGTGGGTAGCTAGGTGACCTGTGAGGAGATCTTAGTGGGCTGGCTCCCAGATATCTCTTGTGACTTATGTGCTTTCCCTTGCAGTTCCTGAGGGAAGACCTCAATTACCACGACCCAACGGTGAAACACAGCACCTTCCATGGTGAGGATAAGCTCATCAGCGTAGAGGACTTGTGGAAGGCATGGAAGTCTTCAGAAGGTAATAGGCAGCTTGGTTGTCAATCCTAGTTGCCGGAAGGTTTAGAGAAGAGAGAAGAAGATGGGTAGCAATTTGGCCTTTAAAGGACATGAGTATAAAATGCTTAGTAAAGAGCAAATTACTGAAATGGTTCTACATACAGTCACTGAATAGAGACTGTATAGAGACTGAGTAAGACTGAAGAGAGTCACTGTGCTGAGAATGGGGGAAGATGCTCCAAACAGAGTGGGAGTTGTTCTCATTAGAATTCTTATCGAATCCTATCCTATCCCTACACCTCTCCTTACCAGCTCCCCCCATCCCCCAAAGGAACCTCACAGCTTTGGCTGCTTCATCTCCAGAGACAGGGAGCTTGCTGGCCTTTTGAGGCAGCCCCTTTCTTCTGAAGCTCCCCACTTGGTCCTGGCTCTGCTGAGTCCTAGATGATTCAAAGGTTGGGTCGAAGTGCAGTTGAACTCTCTCCCGAGTCTTCTCTTCCAGGTTAAATAGCCCTAGTTCTTTGAAGAAAACATTTTTTTCCAGCCTCCTCTTCATCTTGGTCTCCTGCATATGGACACTTTTGTTAATGTATTTCTTAGATCATGGCTCCTACAGTTGGACGCAGACCCCCAGGTGTGGTTTGATCAGCACAGAGCCGAGCAGGACCATCCGCTTCTCAGTTCTGGACCCTGTGTGTCTGTTAATGCAGTCTGATTAGATACTGGTACCCTCAGCAGTCAAATCACTCTGCTGACTCATGTTGAACTTATTAAATTAAAACTTTAGGGCTTCCCTGGTGGCGCAGTGGTTGAGAGTCTGCCTGCCGATGCAGGGAACACGGGTTCGTGCCCCGGTCTGGGAAGATCCCACATGCCGCGGAGCGGCTGGGCCCGTGAGCCATGGCCGCTGAGCCTGCGCGTCCGGAGCCTGTGCTCCGCAACGGGAGAGGCCACAACAGTGAGAGGCCCACGTATGCAAAAAAAAAAAAAAAAAAAAAACAAAAAACTTAAAACTTTAGCTCTTTAGATCTTTTTCATGTGTAAGACTGCTAAACTATGATTACCTTTTTTTTTTTCTCCTAGAGCATTTGCTTCAGAATTCTGAGTGAAAGAGCATGTCTAATTGTATGAGGCTTGACAGGGAAGGAAAAAACAGTGTCTTAGCCTCCTTTCCATTTGTGTCTATGGCTAGAGCTTCCTTTGATACTAATAAGAATGGAAGCAATCTCTCCCCTGGGTCTCTTAGGGTATGTCTTGATGCTAAGAAGAGTTAAAAATAAGTGACCACCAGCATTCCTGGTTTTTCAGATGAGGAACCTTAGGCCTAAATTTATTTATTTATTTATTTATTTAATAAAAAAAATTTTTTTAACATCTTTATTGGAGTATAATTACTTTACAATGATGTGTTAGTTTCTGCTTTGTAACAAAGTGAATCAGCTATACATATACATATATCCCCATATCTCCTCCCTCAGGCCTTTAAATTTATAAAGTTACTTGTTCATTGTATTTAGTAAATAGTGGAGCCAGGACTTAGACCTGGACCTTCTGCTCTCTAGGCCAGTGCTTTTCCATGCCACCGTGGTTGAAAGCACTGGTCTGGTTGTAGAGAAGACCAGTTTTGGTAGGAATGAGGCAGTTTCTATTTTTGTTTAAATTCTTACCTAGGGGGGCTTCCTTGGTGGCATAGTGGTTAAGAATCTGCCTGCCAGTGCAGGGGACACAGGTTCGAGCCCTGGTCCGGTAGGATCCCACATGCTGTGGAGCAATTAAACCTGTGCGCCACAACTACTGAGCCTGTGTGCCACAACTACTGAAACCCATGTGCCTAGAGCCCATGCTACACAGCAAGAGAAGCCACCACAGTGAGAAGCCTGAACACTGCAAGGAAGAGTAGCCCCTACTTGCCACAACTAGAGAAGGCCCGCGTGCAGGAATGAAGACACAGTGCAGCCAAAAATAAATAAATTAAAAAAGAAAATTCTTACCTAGGATTATGGAATTTCAATTCTGGAAGGGATCATCTATAATATAGATGGAGAACATTAGATTTAAACAGGAAGACCTGGATTTTTTAAAAAATATTTTATTTATTTATTTGGCTGCTCTGGGTCTTAGTTGTGGTATGCGGTATCTTTGTTGCCACTTGTGGGATCTTCATTGTGGCATGTGGGCTCTTTAGTTGAGGCATGCAGGATCTTTTAGTTGCGGCATGTGGGATCTAGTTCTCTGACCAGGCCGAACCTGTACCCCCTGCACTGGGAACATGGAGTCCTAATCAGTGGACCACCAGGGAAGCCCCAGGAAGACCTGGATTCTAATCCTGGTTGTAGGATGGACAGGCTGATGCTTGTTAACTCTGTTTTTAATCAATTTAGAAGAAGCATAATTTAGCTATATAGATAGCTTTCTGGAAATTGTTATCCTTGTGGGGGCTTTTGTTTAATAAGCTCCTGAGCAACTCAGGCTGTCTACTGATGAGAGATCAAGCACAGAAATGATCTTTGGAATGATACCAGCACTGCCAGGAAAAATCTTCTAACAGTACTATTTAATTTTAGTTTTCTTCTTTTTCTGTAATAACTTGAGGCCATGGCGCCTGGGTTTTAAGAGAGGGTGTCAAAAGTCGGAACTTAGAATGAAAGATGGCAGGGAGAGCATTCCTGACCTTCTCTGAAAGCCAAAGAGAAGTAGCTGGGAAGGGAAAGTGACCAAGAGAGGGCAGAAACAGAGGGATTAAATCATAGTATTAGAAAACAGCTCAAGACAATTTTCTGGTAAGAACTTTATTTCTGGACTCAGCAACTAATCAGAACACTACCAAGCATGTCCTAAATGGCAGGAAGATGGAAGACAATGGAGTGAGTTTTGCAGAGTTGGTACCCGTTACTGGTGAGCAGAGAAAAACATTTCAATGCACAGTGATGTAGCTCATAGCTAAGCTAGAAGTGATATATATGTACCATTTTAAGATTTGCTCACCATGTGTCATGCCTGATGGTTTGACAAACTAAAAGTGAGAATCTTCTTGTGTACTATTTCTCCCAACAGTTTGTTTCATTCCAAGTAAGGCCCCTAATCTCTCTGGAGTTACGATTTCCAGAGCTACAAAAAACATGTACTATCCTGTCACTGGCTCAAACTGGCTGGCCTGAGTTTTTCTAGATGATGTAGATATCAGCAGTGGTCATTTGTATTCAGAACATTAGCTGACTAATGCCAGTACCATCTATGTGATTAATGTTGTTAACATTTTCTGACTAATGTTGGGGCCAGCCTTTTCTCTGTGTTATTTAGATTTAAGCAGAAAAGCCTGATAATCTCTACATTAGCCAGCTCTGGACTTTAATAATAAAAACAACAACAACAACTACAAAACTACTCTAATGTTTATATCGTATTTACTATGTGCTAGGCAGTGTTCTGAGTGCTTTACAAATATTAACTCTTATTTCTTACAAAAACCTTATGAAGTTTAAATATTACGTTTGTCTCCATTTACAGATGAGGAAGATGAAGCAGAAAGAGAGTGATTAAGTGAAATAATGTAATGCAATTTTGTCACTAACTATCCAGGGTTAGTGCAGACTTCATAAGAAAAGGGCACAATACCTAACAAGAATACTGTCACTTCAGACACCAAACTAGCCATAAACTCTGGGTGTTCCTAGACCACCTGTGCTCTGACCAACTGGCTACAAAATTAGGGGTTCCCACAATCCCCTCAGGTTTAATAATTTACTAAATAACTCTTAGGATTCAGGGAAGTGCTATGCTTATGACTACAATTTCATTATAAAGGATAAAAATTAGGACCAGCAAAAAGAAGACACTCATATGGAAAAGTCTTGTAGGGTCCTGAATGTGGACCTTCTGTGTCCTCTCCCCATGGAATCAGGACATATTGCCCTCCTGGCACATCAGTCATCAATGCAACTGTGAAGTTCAACCAAGCCTCATTGTCCAGAGTTTTCATTGGGGTTTCCTATAACTTAGGCATGATTGATTGACCACATGATTGAACTCAATCACCAGCCTTCTATTCCTCCCCAAAGGCTGGGCTGATATCACCTGGCTCAAAGCCCCAGTTCTCTAGTCACATGGTTGATCTTTCTGGTGACCAGCCCCCATCCAGAGTCATCTCATTAGCATGAACTCAAGTGTGACCCAAGGGCCTACCATGAATAACAAAGATACTCCTATAATCAGGGAAATTGACCTAAAGATAAAAACCAGCCAAATTCTTTATTATACAAAATTAAGTCATTAAGTAAGGAAGAGCTGAACTAGTAGAGCTGAGGAAGAGTTGAGAACAAGGGCAACTCCAGGGATCCCAGCATCAGGGACTACGGGATTGGCCTCTTCTAATTAGTAACTCTCATATGTCTCGGCTACATTCATTCTTCATCTCTGTCTTTGCTCAAGAGTCAGATACAGTGGAGGGAGAATCAGATTGGCATAGTTTGGATCACAGACTTATATAGGGTAGTAATAGTGAGAGAAGAGAGTATGTGTGTGTGGCAATAGTTGGAGGGTGCTGCAAATTCCAATCTCTCTAAGATCCTTGAGGTAGGGAGAGTAGCAGTACTACTGCTACTTTTTTTTTTTTGCGGTACATGTGCCTCTCACTATTGTGGCCTCTTGCGGAGCACAGGCTCCGGATGGCTCATGGGCCTAGTCGCTCCGCGGCATGTGGGATCTTCCCAGACCGGGGCATGAACCCGTGTCCTCTGCATCGGCAGGCGGATTCTCAACCACTGCGCCACCAGGGAAGCCCAGAGTAGCAGTTCTTTAACAGAAGAGATGCCAGGTGAATTTTGTAGAATCTTTGAGCAGTAGAATTGTTGTTTGTATGTTTGAGCCAATGGAAACAGTAACTATGCCCTTTGTAGTGAAGGGTGGTGGGAGGCATTGACCTAAGAGGATTCCCTTCTAAAGCATGGCTTCCATTCTTCTAAACAAAGTGCAGTGTTACTGTTTCTTCTCCCTTTTCGTGGACATGAGGTTTAAAAAGATGTT